CCGATCTGCCCCTGTCTGGTGGAGGCCTGGGCTACCTGCATTGGGGACCTGGGACCCTTTTGCTGCCTTAGATCGACGAGCTGGGGGACCTTGGGGGCCTGGGGAGTGGAAGGGGGGGAGGGGGTCGCGCGCGCTGGCAAGATGCGGGTGCTGACGCTTGTGCCACATCGACTGGGTTGCAGGCGTGGGTTAGCAGCATGTGGGGACGCCGTATCACCGGCGCCGTACTACTCAGATCAACGACGGGTTGGGATCCAAAAACGGAGACTCTCTGTGTCGCGGCGTGGCCAACAGATCAGGGTCGCTCTTGGGTGGTCGACTGGGCGGAGAGTCTCTTCCCTCTAGTTCCTTCTCTTCTTCCCAATAGTCCCTGCGCCTTCGGCGACGACTTGACGGATTGGATACTGGGTCACTTGGTGTGCACCGGGGAAGCAAGGCAGGGTGCCGGAGCAGCATATGCTGCAGGGTCGAACAGCGGCTGTTTGGTAGGTGCGACACAGGTAAGTAGGTATATGTACTCAGCAACGATCGTCTGAGGAAGCGGTGTGCGCTGCGATGGCATTTGGCCAGCGCCCTTGTCTCTCTCAACAAGTTTGACGAGGTCTGCGTCCCTGTCAACACTGGCCGGATGGCAAAGCGTGGCAGACCCAGCGTGCAGGTCAGGCTGGTGCATTGCAAAGACCGCTTTCGGTCTGGCTGGCGGTATATGCGTGACTCGGATGCCGGGCTTGGTGCGGCGAGCTTGGTGGGTGGAAGAGCCGAGGCGGGCCACCGACGCGACTCAGGACTGATAGGGGAGGGGGGAAACGCGATTGAGTCAAGGCAGATAAGAATACTTCATACGCCCAACTCTGACGAAGGGAAAGAGACGGCGAGGGGCAAAACACGCTGACATGTGTCGACGCGATGCGCGATGCGAATGATTCAGAGCAAGATGTGGGTGGTCATATACCTACCACATTCGTACTTGACCTGCCCAGATAGGCACCTGACCGCGGTGTGCGTCTGGATGGGGAGGAACGCTGAGCAGGACAACGCGCCATCTACCTTGTCCGACGAAGGAGCAAACGCGATGTCGGCTTGTTGAAGTAGGTACCTTGGTACATCCAGTGAGGATGATCATTCATGGTTAACTTTTCAGGAGGAAGGAAGTAGCTTTTTGGCTCTTCTCTGTTCCAGGGAGTTGTTGTCGCCTTATTCGACCGCCGTTTGTGCCTCCTACCACCTTCCTTCGTCACAAAAGCTTCGAATCGCAACTCTCAATGGCTAGTTCGCCTGTCCATGATTGAACTTCCGGCCCCTGATGCACTCAGCGATCATACATGATAACTTCGTCCCATCATACAAGAGATGCTTGACACAAGAGATGCTTGGATGGTGTGCTCTCTCGGATGCAGCCACATTGGTGCTCGACAACCCAAATGCCCACATGAAAGCGCAGAAAACAGTCTTTGTTCGCGAAGCAAAAGAAATTACCCACTCGAAACGGTAAGGGAGGGCACGGCACACAGGCCTTTGCGGGAAGACCCGCAGCATCGTGTTACACATTGCCAGACAGGCATTCTGGCGTAGCATCAGACAGAAAGTGCCCATCAATCACCGTCAGCCTCGATTTACCAATCTTGCTCTCTTGGCGAGTGGTGGATATCCTCTCAGGACAGGTAAATTGATCTGAGACTCATTGGTCAGGGGATATTTCAAGGTCCTCTTTCGTCAGCCGGGTCCCTGCTGTTGCAGGCCGCAGTTGAGCGCACAAAACCAGAGGCAAGCAGCAAGGTAGGAAGAGGGAGGGATCAAGGATATATCGACGGCCCGGATTGCGGAGGTGACTTACCCGCCACCTTGAAGGCCACTTGCGGTACGACCGGGCCTGCGCAGGCATGGATAGGCCATCCGACTGCCACACGCCTTGACCACCGCCATCGAGTTTTGTTATTGTCCCCCTCAGGCCCCATTCACGCGCCAAGACGGTGGTATGGCCAGGTGAGAGAAAGCTTTCGTGGCCAGCAACGTGACTGTCTGGCTTGACTCAATTTCAGACAGCACTGGCCAAGCAGGCGACTGGTTGGTAGGCCAAAGAGGGGAGAGGCGTATCCCAGCGGGGCTACCATAGCCAAATCGAACGAGCTTCCATCGCCTTTCTGGGTTGGCCGACCACGCTGTCCACTCATAAACAATATCTTCAGTCCCGCTGACCCTACCAACGGCATGATCTCTCAATGGGACAGCTGAACCATCTATTGCAGCTCGAGATGGGGTCTGATTCGACCAAAGAGTCATAGCATCACGTACAGGGCACATGAGTCTGCCGATGTATTATGAACATAGCGTCCGCTATCCAACTCATCTGGTTGGATTACCAACAACGACAAAATTGGCACCGACGCGCATCGTCCTGTCCCGAAGGCATGGTACTAGAGGAATCCACTCACCGTGTCCAGACCAGACAGATTAATATCTGGTAGCTTCTGAGATCATTCAGACCCTTGGTGGCCATCTTGGGGGTCAGCTGCATTCAAGGTGTTATTTCGTACGACCCGAGAGCATTCTGCCTTCATTGGATTCTGTTTCTACTCCATGAGCCGCCACGGTCGGGACGTTCGCATCCAGGAACGCTACTGCGCAAAAGAAATACAATATGGTACCATATGACAGTTCTTTTTAGTGTTCGCCAGGCATTCGTCGAAATCCCC